AAAAAAAAAATCCTAAAATTGTATATTTTTCAGTTTATGACATTTGCAAATCATTTCTGTATCTTTTCATTTACCTTTTGTACTGCATCTCAAAAATTTTGATATTGGGGTGGTAAATGCAAAAGAGAAGTATGTTTGTTAATGCCTACTGAGTTCACTAGTTTGTTGGAAAGTTCAGTCTCACTTGTGGCTGAGGTTTTTGCTGTTTTGGTAAGAATCTAAAGCTACAGTCTGAAAGTCTAATAGTAGTGACAGTCATGAACCAAATTTCATTCAAACATCTCACGTAAAGACAATCAAAAACCACACGAAATGGAGGTTTGCCAAAGTCAGCAGGATTCAATGCTAGTCACTTAATAACAGACATTACACAGTCTATTCAGGCGTATTAAGGATATTTAAGCCTAGTCCAATGATAGTTGAAGAATGTTATCTATGATTCACACTTACTAGTAAGACAAGAATGTATTCTGACTGCTCTTTGATAATATCTAAATGTAATATCTGTCTTTTTGATAGCTATAACAGGATGTCCAACAACGAGCTTTGACCGCAGACTTAAAGTTTGGCTACATGGTGACAAACTTTACTTCAGGTGTGAGGATGGCTACAAACCTCTCACCAAAGGCTGGTGGGGTGAAGCCACATGTGTGGACGGTGTTTGGTCTGGAGTTGAAAACTGTATTGGTAATTAAAGTTTCTAATTAAAGTATCTTCTGTTATTAGCTTAAAGCAAACACAGTGACTTGTTCAATACCAATGTCAAGATGGGGAGTATAAGATGTTTACATAGAAAAAAATATATTTTAGAATCTTTTTAAAACATTTTTTAACATTTAAGTTTTATCTGCAGTTATGTTTAAGAAAACTGGTTTGAAAATATTTTCTGTAATATCTTACAATAAGTGCATTCATACAGAGTTTCTTCCACTGCTTATTCTGATCACATTTTTAAATGGAGGAATGGATTTTATCCATCTGTAAAATTTTGCCTGATTGTTTGTAATCATATCCACTTTAGAGGAACAAAAGTGTCGAGAAGCTCCTGAGATTCCTAATGGGGAAGGAACACTAGGGAGTACTGAACGACACGGACAGACCCAAGACATGATATTCATTCATTGCAATGAAGGATACTCTGCTGAGATTGAGGAAATAACCTGTCGTGACGGACGATGGGATTTAAATGGATCACTTGATGATATCTGTAAATGTGAGTCACCTCAAGCATTATTTTCACACATATTGATAAAGAGATTACAGTGTGTAAATTAATAGTTTACATGTTTGACATGTTCATGTCTTGCAGCTAATCAGGGTAACTGCAGCCTTCCACCCAAAGTTAAAAATGCTGTTATTACAACTCGTTATCGGAAGCAATACCCATCTGGCGCTGAAGTAACTTATCAGTGTCGTGATAAGTACACAATAGAGGGGAACGCCACAATTAAATGCACAGCTGGGAAATGGAAGGAGCTCAATATTCAGTGTATACGTACGTACATAAAAATAAAATATTGCTGTGAATAAGCTTTAAAACTGTTAAAAACACTGCTGCCTGTCATTCTGCCTGCTGACATATTTCATCTTTATTCATCTTTCTTTCCCCACCCTTCATTAAGGGTAGAGAAAGACTGTAGTCCTTTGAGGGACAAAACAATGGAAATAATTTAACCCAACATTGTACCAAGGCACAATCTTTAACTAACCTTAAATATACTGTTTTGGTTTGTTTTTTGTTTTTTTGCCTAAGAACAGTCTGCATGTGTACCTCGGTTTACACACCTGCCGTTATCTTCATTTTCAGCACTATTGGTCAAATCAATAATGTATGTAACAATGTATATAATATTGACAATACTATTATGTATTTTCAGTGTACTGTGAAAAGCTTGTGGATGAGTCACAGACGATGGACTTCACAGCAGAGAAAGAGAAATACATGACTGGAGAGATCATTGAATATCAGTGTAAGAATAGAGAAGGAATTATTGGCAATGCAACGTGCCAACATGGCAAGTGGGATAAACCAATAGAATGTGAAGGTAAGTAGACATAAAAAAAAAGGAGTTTTCATACAAACACCCCAATGTGGTGCAGTTTGTAGGTTTAGACAATTATTCTTCCCTTTAATCACTTTTAAAAGAATTGCCATTCTTTTCTGACTTCTTAAAAGACTCGACATTAATTACTTCTTAATTACAGCAATGAGAAACTGAATGCCTATTAATAGTAAATATTTAAAGAAAAACTTGCTTAGTTTGAAAATGTAGTGAAAAAGTGTCTTATTACTTT